ATTAGTTTAACATTATAAATTAGTAGAAAACAAAAACCGAAATAGAAATCCCAAAAAGCTCATTTCAGTATAATCTACAATGTTCAAATATATTGTAGAAAAAATTTCATGCAATTCTATGCAGTAGTTTGCCAGAAAAGGTACATCAAAAAGAGGCAATTTGACATTGCGGGTATGGGAGGTACCAACTCCCATTAAAAAAGGAAGTAAGACATCAATTAAAAGAATGACTTGTTCTAATATGTGTTCAGTTTATTTTAGCTTAAAAGTGTGTGATTTTACATTGCTTTGTATTTCGGGATGTTAAATTTTTATAAAATTTTTCATATTTTAGTGTCAGATAAAAATACAGTAGTATGTGTATTTTTTCCTTTTGTAATCCCCAGGGCCCGATTATGCCGATTGAGGCACGGGCCTAGGGCCCACACTTTCTGCAGGTCCTCAAAAAATAGTAATAAGTCCTCAATATTACTTAAAAAAAAAAATTTGTAAGTTTAATTAGCTAAGCAAGTACGAAACCTAAATTAGATTTTTTTTTTAAAAAACTATTCAATTATAAGTTTTTTTAAATGTTCTAAAAAGTTTGTCAAGGATTATGAGTGAGAAAAAAGCATGTCTTTCTCACAACCACACTTTATTGGATGACTGCTAATTTTGCTAGAGTTTGTTATTGCTAAATTATTGCACTGCATGAAAGGAATCTGAATTCCTGATAATAATTCTAGACAGTAAAGTTAATTATGCTCTAAAAATACATAAGCAAACAAGTAAAAAAAGTTTTTTTTTCTTCTTTTTTTTTTTCAAATTGACCGAAAAAAATTTTAGTTTTCGTAAATTTTTTGGCATCTATTTACTGTTTATATCTTTACTTATAAGCTTTTTTCTTATTTAACTCTTCTTAAACTTTTTTTGTTGCTGAAAATTTTACCACTTTCAGCAATTTTTTTACAGATTTTCCTTTTTGCGAATGTATAAAATATAGTTTACTTAATTTAATTCTGAATCTTATGTAAATGGAAAGTGGATTAAACATTCCTGTTTTGGGAGAACAGTTTCTCTTAAAAGTAACAGTGCTGAATTCTGATGTAAATCGGTTTGGTTTGGTTAAAATCCAAAATAATAATGAATAAATAAAATCACATACTAGGTTTTAAATTTAATCATTCAAGGCAACATCAATAAATTAGTGCAAAACATATTTTAAGTTACAAAATAAGACACAAAAAATTACTCTTTCTAAATAAGATCAGATATTGAAGTTTTATTAAAATGTATCAATTGCAATATTTTAATAATTTAAGATGCAATTATTATTTCAATGAGGTTTTGGGAAAGCTCGGTTGAACTGTTCTGTACCGGGAAATTATCCCTTTTATTTTAACGAACTTCAAAGTGTTCATTTTATGGTAAGTATCTGCAGTACCATTATTCTTCATTACATGTAAAGGACCAATAATAAATCAGTTAGACACCCCAATAGTGGCTCTATATTGCAAACCTATAAAAGTCCTACATAAAAATAAATATTTGACTAGAATATAAAGCCATTCTAGGATCTATTATTACAAAACTTACACTTAACACCCCAATCTCGGTTCGATATCGAAAGTCATTCTAAGACCATTGTCTAGAAATATATCAGCTATAAAATATCGGGACAATCGGGCAATTTTAGGTAGGGTTTAAATTGACTGAATAACGGCTATAAGACTTCGGTTGAGTCTGACCCTTCCATATCGAACCGATATAGACTGAATAACGGCTTTAAAATATCGGATGAACTTAACAAATCTGTATAGGGCCAAGATTGGGTAAATGATGGAAATTAAATATCTGGTGAATTTGACAATTTTATATAGGGTAAACATCGGCTGAATAGTGGCTATAAAATATCGGCCCAATGCTGGCAAAATAATGGCCGTTTAAANTTTGATTACAGACAAATTGGTGTCGATTTCTCGTCTATATAATGGTGAACATGGTGGTAAGTTTTTTTTATAATGATTTATTATACTTTTAAACTTTTTTATTATCTTCTAAATTTTCGCATTAATGGATTTTTATTAATAGATAGACGCATTTAAATGTATTCCATTACCAGTTACTAGTTAATGTAGGAAAAAAATTGAATGAATGTATTGATTTCTTACTCCTTTGTTTTGCAGAAAAATTCCTTTCTCTTTTTCATTATTGTGAAAATTTCATGTCCTTAGCATAGTTCTTACAAACTATTTGATGTAATCAAAATTTCATGTGTTATATAAATTTTATTTATAATTAATTTTATATAGTATCTATAAAAACTAATTAATAGTTTTTTCCTACAGTTCTTGAAAAATATTTCAAAAAAGTAACTAAGTGATCTGAAATTGCTCTACATGCTCTAAAAGTGTCATATTTGTAAGATAATTTATGAATCCCATTAAAAAATGTGCCAATTTTAAAGTTATAAATATATAAAAATTGTCACTTTAAAAGTTACAAATGTTGTCTAAGTTACAATAAATGTTTAAAATGAAGAATTTTATTGCAAACAAATTTGAGCCTGAACCATTGTTTGAACTCTTTATTTCATAAATACATCTAATAAAGGATGCTACAGAAAACGCCACAAATGTTTTTTTAATATGACTTAATAATAAATAGATTTACAAACTTTTGTGTGGCTTAGTACAGACTCTCGACAAGTCATAAACTGAAGAATCTAGAATGGGCCATATGGGATTGAGATATATCAAGTAGGGTGGCCATTTTTCAGAAATATAATCATGTCCAGAAAATGCATCTTGCACCCCTCTTGTCTTTTTGACCAACTGACTAACGTGGTGCTATAGTTCTATTTCTAAATTAATATACTTCTTTAGGGCTTTGACATAGGTGAGTTTTCTCACTTAATTCTCCAAAGGCAAATCTTTTGTAGTAAACTGTCTTCTACTTTATAGTCCAGTAAACCAGTTGTTCCAAATTTTTTCTGATTGCAGTATCCTAAATGATTGACCTTCTTTTGGCAGAATAATGAATTAAAGTTCATTAGCAATTGTCTATTATAGTCTACCTATAGTCTAGCAAATGTCGTGTTATAGTCTAGCTCTGAATTTGTTTAGTGTATTAATTAGATCAAAACGAATAAAATTAGCTAAATTATGGTTTTATTTTTAAATGAAAATGAATAATGATCATTGAATAAACAGAGATGCCAACTGCTCCGGACGCGCCAAAATAATTTTAATAGCGGTAAATAAAGGTTTCGGAAGATGAGTGCTATATGGGATTATGATTTAAAGTGCTTAAAAATATTGTTTGAGTGCTTGAAAAGTGCTTATTTTTTGTTGAATAATTTGACAACGCACCCTGAAATAAATAAATGTTTCATATTTAAGTACTTATTTTGTTTCAGATGCAACAACGAAGGTGAACGGGATCTCCGCAGGTCATCACGCAAGAGATTCCCGCCACTGGAGCACTGGCGCAATCAGCGGTTGGTTTACACCTACCAAAACGGGTTGGTGACCGACGTGAGGGTGGACGAAGGGAGCCAACCCGACACTGTGGATTCCCTCAGAATTCGGAGAGATCAAGATAGATATCTTCGGAGGAAGAGGAATATAAACAGAAGGAAGAAACCAACTGTTGTGGTTGATCCATGCACTGGTGGAGAAGAAGTCGTCCACCTAGGACTTCCATCTGACCCCCCTCAGTGGTCCGTGGTCAAAACTTCAGACGACGAGGAGTTCAAATTCACCACCCATTTGAGCAGCCCGTTGATATCAGCTTTCTTCTCTTTNGCCTATTTTCGTTTTTTTAAAAGCCTTTAAAGGTGCTTTTTTCATGGGGTGTTTTTAAAAAGTGCTTAATTTCCCCTCTTCCAAAATGGGATTTTTTTCTTTACCCTGTTGATTTTCGCTGCGAATAATGCAGAAAGGCACTGTTCACATTGTTCTGTTCAACGTTTTCACAATTAATTCAAAAACTTTCCAACCGTGCCTAATTATGATATTTTTTTAAAGTGCTTAAAAATATTGTTTGAGTGCTTGAAAAGTGCTTATTTTTTGTTGAATAATTTGACAACGCACCCTGAAATAAAGAAATGTTTCATATTTAAGTACTTATTTTGTTTCAGATGTAACAACGAAGGTGGACGGGATCTCCGCAGGTCAACACGCAAAAGATTCCCGCCACTGGAGCACTGGCGCAATCAGCGGTTGGTTTACACCTACCAAAACGGGTTGGTGACCGACGTGAGGGTGGACGAAGGGAACCAGCCCGACACTGTGGATTCCCTCAGAATCCGGAGAGATCAAGATAGATATCTTCGGAGGAAGAGGAATATTAACAGGAGGAAAAGACCAACTGCAGTGGTTGATCCTTGCACTGGTGGACAGGAAGTCGTCCACCTAGGACTTCCGTCTGACCCCCCTCAGTGGTCAGTGGTTAAAACTTCAGACGACCAGGAGTTTAAATTCGCCACCCATTTGAGCAGCCCGTTGATATCATTTGGGGTACTCAAACTAAAGAAAGGAATGAAAACGGGGGAACAGCAGCCTCCTCCTCAAAACATCAATTTTGTTGTGGCGAAGGGGGACCACATAGAAATGACGGTAAACAGAAGGAAGTTTACTCTTCAGAGACTAGACACCATAGTGGTGCCCGTTGGCAATTGTTACAGTATTTTCAACAAAGGCAAAACGGAGGCCGTTCTGAATTACACCACCTTCTCAGCTCCTCTCTTTGATCATCAGTACCTAGCACCCCACACTCACGATTAAAACTTTTGACGTCATGTAATGCCAGGATGTCATCATTTATTGAGGGCAAATATTCAATCAAATATGTCTTTTTTTTTATATTAGAAATATGATTTCTCTTTCAACAAATCACCCAAACATCAATCCGGAAAGAATATTCAGTGACTTTGATAACTTTTCCGTGCATTTTTTTAATGAATAGTGACTTTAAATTTTTTTGGATAATTTTAAGCATTTTATNTATGTTATCTCAGAATATGTTTGAGCTAATGGTTTCTCAAGCTATGGGAGTGCTGAAAAAAGATTCTGCGACTGATTTAAGCTCCTCTAAACTGAGCAAAGTGACTCAACTCACTGGGTTCTCTGATCCAGTTTATGCTGAAGGATATGTTCATGTAAACCAATATGATATTGTTCTGGATGTGTTGATTGTCAACCAAACTTCTGATACTCTTCAAAACTGTACTCTAGAACTAGCTACATTAGGTAATTGCATTTTATAGTTTAGTTTTCCAATTTCAGTTTTCTTTTTGTTATGGTCTTTCTTGTAAGTAAGTGTATATTTTAACTGTATTACAATATTTTTATATTACTGTAGTAAGATAGTCCAATTATTACTGTGACTCAACTTTTTGAATGTGGTCCTGAAACTTCTATTTATAATTTCATGCTAATGGCAATCTCTTAATTTTCACTCATTTAAACTTGATTTTTTTTTCTTCTTTCTTGAAAAGGATGCTAAATTGTACAGTATTACTATTATTCTCATATTATGCGTTTCTGACGTTTTTTTCTTTTAATTTCATGTAAAATATTTTAAATTACTTAATTTTTTACTCATTTTAACTTCTTATTTTTCTAAAAAAAATAAATAAATAAAAAACAAAGGACTCAATCTTTTATAGCTCAAAAAAAGGGGGATAACAATTTCTTGCTTCTCTGCAATTAATGTACAATAGACTTTGATCAGAACCAAATCAGGGAAAGAAGGAATAGTTAATGATTTCTTATATGTTTGAAGACTGATTGTTTTTTTATTTGTATTGCTTGTATTTATTTGAATTTGTAAATGAATGGATTCAATGTAAGTGTGTTTATTCAAAGATATCTCATTCTTTTCAAACTGATCATGGTGCTGATCAGATTTATGTTTATAATTTTCTGTTAGAATTTTCAAAAGAAAAAAGTATTTATTAAAAATGTTTAACTTAAGAGACAAAATTAATCTTATTTTTGATGTGGAAAAAAATCCAACGTTGAAAAGAAATAAAATTAAATTGGCTAATGTAATAACGAGAATCATTATAAAAATATTTAAAAATTAAACAAATTATCAATAATTTTTTTTCCATCTACTTAAAAAAAAAACTTTTTGTTTTATTTTGATTTTTTAAACATTTTAGAAATCTGTTTACCATATTGTCTAAGTAGGAATTTGATTTTAAATATAAGTATGCTGTTTATTATTGTGATTTCATGCCATAAGGTTTGTAATAGTGTTTTGTGATAAAAAGATGTGATTAAAATATTTAAATCTAGTTAAATATGGAAAATTTGCTTTTTTTTTTATAGTAGTTCTGTAAAATTTAAATATTTTACTTCTTTCAATCATAATATTAAGATTATTTAAGTGTTAGTAAAATATAGCTTAACAAGTTAACATTTATATTATCGATTTATGCATCTGCAACAAATTTATTAAAAATGTTCGTAAACAATATTAGAAGAAGTAACATTTTCTTTTTTTGAACTTTTGTATTATGAAATATCAATAAGTTGCAATGGTCCAGGGTTGGTTTGTAGAAGTTCTAAATTGTCAGAATCTCATTTTAAGGAATTTGTGTCGTGATCACATTAGGACTCCAACGGAAAGATTTTATTGAAAAACTCTTTTTTTTTTTAAATTGGTTATTTTTAAACTGATGGTATTTACTTAAATAAAAGAAAAAAAGTTATTTAATAAAGTTATGCTTTTTTTTATGTGTTTTGTTTTAACCATAGTTTAAATCAGTCTAATCTTGTCTGAATAATATTACTAAACAAGGCCACTCTCCTTATTTAATAGTAACTAGGTAATAACTAGCATTGCTTTCATCTGTATTGCAGATTAGCACCTTTCTCGGGATCAGACATATGGAATCGAACATAGGTGAATTGTGCTTCACATGTGGCAGCATTTTAAGCACCAAAGAGCGGATTTTTCTGCCGGGGCGATTTCTAACATTATTTATTGAGTATGGAAAGATAGCACACAGTTGTTGTTTCTAAACATGCCAAAGTTTGAGTTTTGCAAATCATTACCAAAAGCTGGTTTCCAAAATTTAATATCTCATGCCCAGAAAATTAGTGCTATGTTTGCTTCATCTTATATATGTGAACAAGTGTTTTCAACTATGAACCTTAGAAAAAATCATTTCAGAAGTAGGCTAACAGACAAGCATTTNATCTCACTTCGAACCTTAATATAAGATACTTTTAAAAAGGAAATCGCAATTTCATTCCTCTCATTAAATATTTCAATTAAAACTTGTATATCGTTTTTTTTTTATAGAATTTTTTTCTCGGCCCACCAAACTTTTTTTTCTCAATTTTTTGCCCTTGACCAAAAAAGTTTGCTCATCCCTGGTCTAACCCAACTGCCAAACAGTTGGGATAAGAATTGAGGAAAATATGTTGTTGCGAGCAGAAAGAAATTCTCTTTATATTCATAATTTTTTAATTGCTTTAAAATGAAATTATTTCTCTTCTTTATAATCATAACTAAAATCATTTTTTCTTTTCAGTGTTGCAACAAAATGCAAGATGCCTTCAGGGTGTAGCCCGAACAAGTTTCGTTTCTTTTTGTCCATTTCTTTTGTCACCAATTATTGATACCAATTATTAGTTTTTTAATTTAAAGAAAATATTAATCCAGTCGATAATTAATTTAATTGTAGAACAGTATGTTAATAACTATTTTTTAAATGGCTATAATATAATATAATGTTACATGACTAAAATTAATAATTTCATGCGCGAGTATTCGTTCAAATTTTAACTAATAAACAAAATGAAAAACATAATAATAGTAAATAAAAATCTATTATACACTACTTTCCTCTTTAAATAGAGAATGAGACTAATTACGTTATGTCTAAAACTAAGTTATCAAGGGGTTAAAAACAAACCTTTTGAAATGAATTTAAATTTTATATATATTCTTTTAAACTTTAAATAATTTCTTAGAATCCTGCCTGTTAAAATGTTTTACTGTTAGCAGAATTATGGAGTTTTTACTGAAGTTGTTTCAACTGTTGAAAAATGAACTTTCACTGGAGCAAACAGCTCAGAAGAACTTGTAGTCTTGAATTTGGTTAAAATAAGAGCTAAAGGGATTGTTTTCAACAAATACTTTGCTTAGATGTAAAATTTTCTAAGTTACTCTGCAAACCATTGTCATAAATTAAATTTTGCTTGCAATCAAATGACAAAGCCTTAAATGAACATAATTTGCTGGCATAATTCGCTCAGTTAAAGGGGAAAAAAAATTGAGTCAGAAATGAACTAAACATATTAAAGAAGATACAGCAATTTTTTTTCAACTAATTGAAAATGCTATTTAAATTGAAAATGGCACCTGGCTCAAGAACTAAAGAATCGCCTGCTTTAAATAAATGCAACCAAAGACCCGGTATTGATCTCTCTATGCATAGGTGGTGTGCTGTAGGAGTTAGGGTTTGAGACTGAATTTTGAGTGATAAATAATGGTTAGGTGGGGTGTTCCTACTATAATCTG